ACGCCATCACAGTGATTGTCTGTAGTATTACCCCTTGGGCCCTATTCTGTAATCCCGTTTATTTACTTGGGATATTATTAAATAAGAAAATACCATCTTTTCAAAAAAAAATTGACATTATTTAACAAAATGTGAATTCATGTCATAGAAACGGCATTGAGATACAATAGTTTGGATCTAATTCTGCTAGATTTCTTGTTTGACTACCTCAATGTATTTTTTTGTAACTAAATTTCTTGTTACTTCTACAAATTAAAAATATAAGCAACCACATCCAGAAAAACAGTGCATTATGGTGATATTCCTGATTAACAGAAATATATCCCAATTTATTCTTAATTCTGTAGGGTTTTCCACTTTTTAGTAATTAATGTATTCTTTTAACATATACAAAAGTAACAAATATTTTTTCGCATGGATACGTATTTATAAAATACTTTTCATACGTAATATTAAAAAAAAATTGAAAAAATAATATACATCATTTTGGACATTGTGTATTATCCTCACAAAGTTTAGTTGTGTGCTCACGCAATGCAATTTGTAGCTTGGTTATGCTGTCAAAACATTAACTTCGAATGGTAAAAGCAGATCAAGCGGTGCAGATCAAGCGGTTCATGCAGATCAAGTAGGACAAGTGCAGATAAAGCAGGACAAGTGCAGATCAAGCGGATCAAGTAGGAGAGATGCAGATCAAACAATTTATCATAAATTATGAATGACAAAATAAGTTCAAAACTATAGATCATATATTAAAAGAATAAAATTATACCAAATATCAATATAAATATTTAAATGTTATAGGATCAGCCTAAATGTTTATTGGATTTTTCATAAGATGCTTGTAGCGTTTTAGTTGATCAAAATTATTTTTGAATAACAGACATCTTAATATTTAATTATTTGTTAATATTTATATATAAAAATGGAGATAAAACAGATTAAATATTTTATTATAAATTATAAATGACAAAATATGTTCACATTATATATCATATAATAAAATAATAAAAATTACACCAAATATCAAAACAAAATATTTCAGATGTTGTATGTTCAGCCAAAATGTATGTAAAAATTTTATTAGATGCTTATACTTCTTCTATTTATTAATTATTTTAAAATATAAAGTAATTATTTTTTTGCTGACACTTATGTAGAAAAATTTATATTTTTCGTGGAAAATATTGTGTTTTTGGCGATTAGACATCATGCTTATAACTTTAAAATAATACAAATAATATTAATGTGAACTATATAGTTTGAGTTAATAATTGTACATTATTTATAAAATAAAATAAATATATTTTAAAGTTAAGTGTTTGTAATAAAACTATTTATTAGTAAAAGGAAAAAAAAAAGGCAGATCAACACCACCAAATGTTAGCGGATGGGATCTGCATGCAGATCTCCTGCTTTTTCTACTAAAAGACAAAAAAATTGAACTGCATGCAGATCTCCTACTTGAACTGCTTTTACAAACAGAAAATGATGAATGGTAAACATAAGGCAGGAGAACTGCCTATTGCGGGAGAACTGCTTAAACTGCTTAAGAGACAAGGTATACAAATTTGCAACAACAAAAAAACGATCAAATCAGCTAGCTTTCACGTAGGTACTAAGTTTTTGATTTGATGGAACATAACATAACATAGATTTGTCAATATGTGGTGCAGATTCGTCATTTTATTAATCTAATTTAAAACGTCTGTCTAATTTGATTTACGAGGAATTATTATTGAATGTGAGTGGATGGAATCATTGGCGTTAATATTAGTAGAGATATTTTTAGCTCGCCTACTCCAAGAAATGGTAAAAAAAGAAAAATTTGTTATTCTGCAGATGTGATTGGTAAATTATAGAATAGCTGAAATAATTGAAATCGAAGAACTAGGAATAAATTATAGAATAGCTGAGAATTAATTATTGAAATGGAACAACTATTGTTGACAAAAAAAAAAAGAAATGGAACAACTAGGAATAAAAAAATTAGAGTAATAAAGAGGAAAAAAAATAAAAGTCAAGTGTTATTTATTTTCAGTTTCAAAAATTATGAGGGAAAAGATGCAATACACTCCTCTGTTTACACAGTACTGAGCGTAAGAAAGATAAAATTTGTTTTCATCTTATTGGTAATAAGTGAAACTAAGAGAAAAAAAAAATCAACAGAACATGCATTATCGTTTTAAGTTCTTTTCAGTCACATTCGACATCAAAATAAAAGAAAAGTTTTATAATTTGGGTTTTACTTTTCTCTTTCCTCGTGTTTCATATTACATTTTCACCTATTTATTACTTTATAATTAAAACACCATTCACAACAATTGTGTTATATATATAAATGAAAAAACAACAAATGACATATTATCCACAATGGTTTTAAGATTCAACACTCTCCACTTCATCTTTTAACATTCCACATTATTTTCTCTTTCTTCTACTTCATCATTCAAAACACATTCAACTTTTATCCACTACAATGATTTTGTTTAATAAATTTCAACACCCTAATTTCTTAATTAATAATTATTTTTTCTATATCCAAATTAAATAAATATAATATCTATTTATAGAGAATTTAAAATGATAAATTTTAGTATAAGAATAAAAATAAATTATTTAATTTATAATAATATTATTGATTTTAAATAAGTAAAGGGATATGAAAATATCAAAAATTCTTAAAAATGACATGTGTCATCGATGACCCCCACTTTCTTCTTATTCAACATGTTGAATATTTTCAATACAGTTTAATTCACATCATCAAATTTCATTTTTCAACACTTCCATTGTAGTGATTCAACTGTTGAATATTTTATTCAACACCTCAATTGTAAGTAGTCTGATGTGATTTTACTTTAAGAAGTGAGTTGGATTTATTTTTATAATTCAAAAGACCAAAATTGGGGTTTCAAGTTGGATTTTTTCCCATGTGCCAAGGTACTAGTACCATGAAATATGGTTTATATTTTAAGTCGTATAATATTGTAAGAGTAGTACTCTACATTGTATACACATTTTTCCAATTAGTTACAGTTTTTGGGTAAATGTTAAATTATTAGTCATGACTGATAGCCAAATTCAGGGAAGATAATTACAACTCTATTATAGGCGTGGTGAAAAATGAATATATATTAATTGCTGAAGACTACACTGTAGATTGAGAAACGCCGTTACATCAACTGACGGCAAATTCGGTAGATTCTAGCTAGGCAAAAGATTTGTGCAGACAAATTCAAACGTGATATTGTTTTTTTTTTTGGACAACTTTCAAACGTAATATTGTTAATTCTCATTTTTTTTGTTAATTCTCATTTTATTAAAGAAAAGAACGTAAACGAGACGAGATCAACTGAGAATCCCGATGGGCATCTTCAGAACTTGAGTACTTTGCAGACTTGCAAGTTGTAAAAGTGACTTCAATTAACTCCTGCTAGATTTTGTACAGTCTCTAAAGATTCACATTACCCTCCATCTACATCCATATTGCTATTAACATAAATGTAGTTTATTAAATAATGAAGTACTGTATAATGAAAGAAACTTCAGTACCATTGCTAAAAGTTCCGAATAGAAGTAACATAGGGTGGATTAGGGATGAAGTACGTTAGTAGGTCCCGCTAAAATATATACTCCACCATTGACCAACCAAGCCATTACTATTTTGTACATTACTAATATTAATATTTTAAGAAATATTTTGTACATTATTACTGTTTGAACATTTGTACATTCAATACAAAAGGTAATTATGTTCGTACATTGCTACAAGCCTACAGTTAGGCTTGACAAAGTGCAAGTTTTCTTAAATTAGAACCCATATTGTATTTGCAGAGAGATTTTATCACAGAGCGCTTTTTTAGCGAGAGAGATTATTTATAAAATTGTATTAAGTAAAATGTTGGTATTATATTTTCCGCCAAACAATCATGAAAAAAATAACGATTGCTTGGAGATTTTCATATGTGCTAAACCCGTGAGATGTAATGCAAAATCAAGAAGAGAAGAACTAATAATTACGTGCACTTTAATTTACTGTAATGCTTTATTGGAGTGCTTTGGTTCTTTCTTTAATTTTGTGGTCCATCTTAGCCAAAAGAGGAAATATTTTCATGTGTAAATAATGTAGTAGAAAAAACATTTACTTAATGTTCGAGCACACATGTTTAAAATGATTCACGTCCCATTATTTCCCATGCAGACGAAAAATCCTGTAATGATAGTTTCAAACATGATTATTACAATTCATTCGAATTTACTTTTCCGTTTTTATAATTTTTGTGCAGATCTTAAAATATCATATTTCAAAGTTATTCGTTACGGTGGTGAACTGATAAAAATAAATAAATAAATGCCGTTGTGATTTTTCTCATACTATATAGTATATACAAAAGTAATAATTGAATTGCTCAAATTGTATTATCGTTAACCTGTGCGGGAGATACCATCCACGCGTACTATAACCATTAGTATGATTAGAAATTTATGGTGTAAAAAGGCATATATTCCAGCAAGTAATATAAGAACACGACAAAAAGAAGACTTAAAAAGGTAATGAAAATGTCAGTAAGTATGTGAAAGACTGAGACACAGCGTTCACAGTTTGTACGAAGAACCTGTTCGACTATCACCGCTTAAATAGACATACATTTGTCTTCAATTTCAAAGGTAATGAAAATGTAATGAAAATGTCAGCCGGTCACCTTCTCTCGATTTCCTATATAGCATCTCCCACCAAACCCGGGACTTCTTTTTACCTTCAGTTACATTTTTACCATGAGCGAAGTTATGTGTACTAATGATATATCTATTTTTTTTTATAACACTTGAACGTGTAGAAATAACCGTTGTGTACTAATGATATAGTAGAATAAAATGATGATCATTTTGACCAAACTGTATAGCTCAATAAATTCTCCGCACTACACAGTAGTAGACGTCTTAAACATAAATATATTTGTATGGGTATAATTTGATCGTGCTTCAAAAAGAAAGCAGAAAAAGACTCTTTCTCTATCTCTCAACCTCTCGTTTCATCCGTCACCATTATCTCTTTACACTGTTACACTATTCTCTGCATCTCTAAATTATCCTCTTCCATGGCTGATGCTAATTACGAGCCTTACCATGTCCTCCAACATAGCCGACAAGATAGACTTCGGAATCCTTCTCTTGACTCCCACTTCCACTTTCACCACCCTCCTCCTCCTTCTTCTTCCGGCGGAGGCGTGTTTCTTCCCGCCGATCCCGATTTCCTCGCCGCCGGTGGATATCACTCCAACAACAACAGCAACCACATATCCAACCCTAGCTACAGTAACTTCATGGGATCTCTTGGTGGCCCATCTTCCTCTTCATCCACTGGACTTTGTTCTGGTGACGTTCTTGTATTCAACCCCGAGCCTTTATCCCTATCTTTATCATCTCACCCTAGGCTCGCTTACGATGTAGTCGTTCCGGGTGTTGTTAACTCCGGAATCTGTAGATCCGCCGCTGAAGCCGCGGTCACCGTCGCGTCGAGAAGCTCAGGTCCTCTAGGACCTTTCACTGGCTACGCATCCATTCTTAAAGGATCAAGGTTCTTAAAACCAGCACAGATGCTTCTTGATGAGTTTTGTAACGTGGGACATGAGGTTTACACCGACAAAGTCATGGACAACGACGACGCTTCTTCTTTGCTTTTCGACCCGACGGTTGAGACTCTCTGCGCCGGCGGAGAACATGGGAAGAAAAAATCAAAACTCATCTCCATGCTCGACGAGGTATAGTTAAATCATACTATTTCTTTTTTTCTTTTTCTTTCTAAAAATTAATCTGAACTTATGAATTCTGATATTTACTGTACTGTCTTTTAGACTTTTCATGCTTAATTATTTTGTTTAGATGCTCAGAGTTCTTGGTTGGTGTCCTTTGAAATTGAAGACAAAATGTATGTCTATTTGGAAGATATCTTCCTTGGAAAATGAAACTCCTTCAAAGTCATTTAAAAGCTATATTGTTTTTAAATATTGTAATGTGTTATTGTAATTAAACTTTCCCTACGTTTGCATGAAAATAAGATGTTTGTGAGTACTTGTTAAGTTCACGTTAATGTATACAAAGCTTGCCTTGATCTTTCTTATTAGTGGCCATTCTTTCGTTTAATAAAAAATTTAAGGTTATACTAAATTATTGATAATATTATCTTGTGGAAATTACTTTTTATGGACCTTTTCTTGGCTCTCGATCTAAATTTGTGAATTGGATTCTTTAAATCTTATGGATAGAAATTAAAAGTGATAAAACGAGAATCTCTCCTTTTTTGAAAGGGAATATATGCACGAGATTGGTATTTGATCTTAAGCTAGGGACTTAAAGATTTAATTAGTTTATATTCACAATTTTATTATATAATTGGTTCGAAACTCAAGTCATTTCCATGTGACGTTTTTACTAGGTTTACAAGAGGTATAAGCAATACTATGAGCAGCTTCAAGCTGTGATGGGCTCATTCGAATGTGTAGCAGGACTCGGGCACGCAGCTCCTTATGCAAGCTTAACTTTAAAGGCATTATCTAAGCATTTCAAGTGTCTGACGACTGCTATAACAGACCAGCTTCAATTTAGCACCAATAACAAGATACAGCAACAATGTGGCCATGTGATGAACTCTGACAATAAAACCGACTCTTTTCGATTTGAAGGAAGTGATAGTGGTAGAGGCTTGTGTTCTGCTGGTCAAAGACATGGACTTCCTGATGACCATACTCCTGTATGGAGACCACACCGTGGCCTACCCGAACGTGCCGTCACTGTTCTAAGGGCGTGGCTCTTTGATCATTTCTTGCATCCGTAAGTAAAACCCTTTTCAGTCACATATATGCTTTTGAAAGAAGTTGGTTTGAGTTTTTAGCATAGTTCTAAATATACTTCGTGTTAACAATGTCAATTCGATCACACCATCAATCAATTTCACTGAAGTTACACTTTTAACTTGACATAAGCATAGTCCAATATCCGATATATGTCTACATCATATCTCAATTTTGATATTCATTCATGTGTCAGAAAGACATGAACCACTTATTTTACATGCTTGTGACCAAATAGCTATAGATGCATATGTATGTACGTATAGAAATGTATTATAACTTGGAAGTATGTGTTAGATGGGACATGTCGAATGGTTGTTTGTTTCTCAAACTTGGATATGTCGCCTTAGATGGGAAATGTGCATATTTATTTATGTAAGATAATATCGTAAGATATAAAATTATAGTTGTGTGTCTTTCGTTGCAGTTATCCAACTGATACAGACAAACTCGTGTTGGCTAAACAGACAGGTCTCTCCAGAAACCAGGTCCGCACTTCTGATATCTTCAGCTTTGTTTTTCTCTCTTTATATTTCGTGCTACAGTTAGATATAGATATAAATAAGCCTATGAAATGAGATTCTTCTATCGACAATCAGTTTTTACTAAATATTATGTTATACATTCTTTTCCAAAAATAATTTGAACTTTAACACATTTTTAATGGCAATTTTTTATTGAACAACAAAATCATGCGGTTAGCATATCTGAATAAATCAATCGTTTGGTCTATGGACATTGGTTAAATCTATTTAGTCCATTTTCTTTAGATAATGATATCTACGATAAAACTTCTATAAATTAATAACATTGGGATTTTAAAATTTTATTAATTCATAGAAATATTAATTTACAAAAAATTATTTATTTAAATTTTTATTTATATTACAAAATAAGAAAAATATTTGATTTTAGTGTATAGAAATTAATTATTATTTTTTTTGAAATTGACATTTATATTAATTTTATTATATTATTCGGTGTATATAATATATTGCATATAATCTAAATGTGTGTTTAAGATATAATATTACAAAATCTCATCAAAAATATATTAAGTGTTAAAATATTATAAAGATTGATTAATTTCAATGTGAATAGAAAACATATAATATAGTGATAGGTTGTTACTTATATAAAATATGTATACGTATAAATTATTAATTTTTTTATAAATTATAAATTTATAATTTTAGTGGGATCATATATTTACAAAGATTTTTTTTCAAAAATATTTTCTTATTATATTATCGATTTGTGTTGAATTCTGAACCTTTTAAGTTGGGATTAATGAAATTTTTATAGAAGTTAATATTTTTTACCTCACCGATTCACCGATTTAACTTTATTGATGGATATTAGAAACTTTATTATGTTCAGGTATCGAATTGGTTCATAAACGCACGAGTTAGGGTTTGGAAACCGATGGTGGAAGAGATTCATATGCTGGAGACTCGACAATCTCAAAGATCTTCTTCTTCTTCTTGGAGAGACGAACGTAGCACCACTACAGTTTTCCCCGATAACATTAACAACAACCCTCCCTCCGGGGCTCAACAAAGAGCTAATAACAACTCATCTCCGCCTAGAAGGGTGCGAAACGACGACGTTCATGCCAACACCAACAACGATAATAACAACTTCATGAACGCTGGAAATGGTGGGAGAGGAGGCGGTGGCGGGGTTAGGTTCTCCTATGGTATTGAGTCGTCGAATGTTCCGGGGATGAGTAGCAGCACAAAAGGAGGAGTGTCGTTGACGTTAGGGCTTCATCATCAAATTGGGTTGTCGGAGCCCTTGCCAATGACAACTGCTCAGAGGTTTGGACTTGACGGTGGCAGTAGTGGTGGTGGAGGAGAGGAGTTTTACGGTGGTGGTGGTAGGTATGATGGGCAAAATCGTCAGTTTGGGAGAGATTTCATTGGTGGTAGTAATCATCAGTTTCTACATGATTTTGTAGGATGAGATCATTTGTGAGGGAAGACAAAAAATGTTTGACGTTTGACTGTATTTGATAGTTGAGAACTTGTAATGCATATGATGTGTATATTATGATGCTTGACAAATGGAATATTTCTAGGGAGTTAAGTTGAACTGAAAACTGATCTGTGCATGAATAATGTCTATTATCAGCATTTAGAAAGTCTGATAAGTCTTACCAAAAATGAAGAATAAAGAGTGATAAGAAACTAAACCATCTATTTCGCTCAATTATTTTGTTTGTATTGAAACCCTAACTTGCCAGAGTAACTGAGCTAAGTGGTACAATATTATTAAACTCAACTAATGGATTTTTTGTGAACCGCCTTTAAACACCAATCCAGCTGGTTCGGTTTATGGTCCAAGTCGGTTTGTATCCCATCTAATAATGGTTAAAGGTTAACAGACTTGGCTTTTGAAGAGCTCATGAGAGCAAAAGATGAAAATACCTTTGTTGCTTCAACTTAACTTTGCATTTGCTTTTCGAAATCGAGGGATATATAACGCTTTCCTCTAAATATAAAACTAAGAAAAATAATTTTGTCTTTTTAGAATTTATTCTCCTAGCCATATTCAGACTTGTTTTTCTACACCCTTTTTGTTTAGTTTTGTACATAAACATACATACATTCACAGATTATATGTCCTTTTTTTTATCAACAATACGTCCATATATTTAATAATGTTGTTTATACCCGTTACAAATTATTCTATGTTGTTTGTACTAACCAAATTTATTTTCTCTCGATATATGAACATCATATCCCGGTTCGTAGAGATTTTAGTTCAGTTATAGGAAAGTTTAAAAATGTGGACGTATAGTCAACTCTAAATCAAGAAGCCAACTGATTATCTCAGTATGTTGGCATTAACTATTCTTTTTATTATAAAGAAGCGATTTGAGCATGTAATATGTTAAAGATTACATAAATATATACAAGAATGTAAGCTGTTTTTTCTACCACTAGAAAATAAGAAATTTAAATCGAAAATATATATTTTAGGTCTCTATCTTCTTTGGTTATATGAAAGCTGGCTTATGTCTTCAAAAATGCATTCACCCTTATATTTCACCCGTTGGTCTTAATAACATCAGAGGGAAAACAAAGTTGTTGTAGATCATCATGAACCTATATTCCAAACTTATAAAAATCGAGTTTCTTATAAAAGTAAGCATTGGATAAATTAACGGCTCATTGTGTTCATCATAATTCCATGAGTTGCAAATTAGACCCTTTAACTGAGGCAAAAAATATTGTCCGATTTCTTAAAAAAAAAACATTGTACGAGGAACTTAACGTTTTTAAAAAAACTTCGCACATGATTACTCATTGTAAATTGAATTAACTGAATTAATTTTTGTTTGTACCTAATAATTTAGCGAGGTGTCTTTTCGATTATATGAAATTCAATAATTGAGAGGAGAATCGGTTCATGTGACGACCCGGGAGAAGGCATAAAGCAGTCAAAGAAAATTTCAAAGATTAATATATATATATGTATATTGTAATTTGTAAAGCGAAAAAACGATGGCGCTATCATTGGCTTATAAAGAACAAAGAATCAATTTCTTATGATTTGATCTCTCACAATTCATCTTCTTTATGTTATGGATGCTAAAAAAGACTCCACACGTTTTATGTAAAATAAATTTCTAAAAGATATACACATTAATATCCGATTTTATTATTGCCTCAAATCTAAAAGCAGTACGTTCTGTGAGAAAAATCTATGTACATGTATATGCCACTTTAGACATTAGACACGTAAGGCGTACATACTACAGTTTTATATCATATACACACACACACACATAATTATATATATTAATTTAAGTACGTGGATATGTGATGAACTGAAGATAAATATAGGAATATAATAAGAAACCATGAACAAGAAAAGATTGTCTCTCTAAGAGTATTTGTTCGAGAAGCATTAAACCTTCGGAATAAGTATTATTCTTCTGCACCATTACTAATTATCAGCTTGGCTAGCTCTATATATTCTCACCACTAACCACAACAAAAACAACAGCAGCAGCAGAAATAGAGCAACACAAGAAAGAAGATGAAGATTATGGTACTTGGTGGGGAACTGGTAATCTGCATCCTGAGGTTTAAAAATACATATAATAGGCACAAACAATATGCAAATTGTGTATTGTAGTTTTTAATCCTCGGGATACAGATTACCTCTTCCTTACTCAACGTACACGAAACCACTTAAGTCAACAAAGACTAAACCTTAAAATTGCTTGGAGAAGAAGCATGACATTATTATTAGCAACATGGGGAGATTGGTTAGCTCAAAGATACTTCCTACTCTTTGCATTTTATATTTTCTACAATATATCATTTTGTGAGTTGCAATGACTTTAGTAATTATACCCGTGATTAAGACTTCTGACCTTTACAAAAATGGAGATATTAAGAGAGTTTTAGTAAATAGAAAACTTACAAATGTTTTACTTACTTTTTGATAGTACTCCGGAACAAATGTTTTATCAAAACAATAATAATGTATCTTGGTAAAATAACGGGCAAAATCAAATGTATAGACTTCACTTGTCGAGAGATCGAAGCATCTCCAGAGACAGTTTCCAACTGTTCTCAAAACCTATTGATTGGGTTCTTCAACGTCGATTTCGACTTCTGCGCGTTCCTTCGAATGGAGGTTCAAGAATTACAAGTGAAGCTTCTCTACGGGACTCTTCTCTCTTTAACCATTTCTATCCTTTGTCATATTTTAATTTCCATCGTCGAGTTTCTCTCCGATTGTAATCGATTTTGCCCATTGGACTTTTAGTTCTTTAATATAATCAGTTGTTCAAAAGAAGACTTCACTTAAAAGAGAAGCACAAAGATCAAACTGATATGAAGGATATAAAATCTTCAGATGATACCAAATGCATGGTTTGATTGCAGAAAGCCATTTTCACGTATGGATCGACTAATTTAGAAGATACATGGAGATGTAGATTTGTAAGATAGATGTGCATTTAACTAATGTTTTATGATTTTTAAATTGATCGTTTGCATGTCTATGTACTTATTTAAGAGAAGAATATATTCATGAATCATATGGTCTAGTCATAGGAAGTGGGGAATATGATTTGATAGATAGTATATATCTGATTTGATGCCAGTAATATTATTATTTGATCCTTTCTAATATTGAACAAGAATTTATCCACAATCATTTACAAGAGAGATCCTTAAACTTCATTTTGGTACGTAAACGTAGCTAAACCGGTTAACTAAAAAATGGTATCCGGTTTGGGAAAATGAGTCCAAGGGCGTAAATGTCAATGGGGAAAGAGAGACGCGTGGCGTGTTCATTGAAAAAGCAAAGACCATTTCCATTTCGATACAATAACAAGACGATCTCTGCACGAAATCAGTTTTGGTTCATCTTGGCATTGAATTTGATCATTAATCGATAGATTGTTAGTTGGTTGGTAGAATTGATTTAGGAGAGTTGAGTTTTGTTGTGATCATGGATTGGGGAAATGTAACGGTTGAGGATCTGGTGGATGCTCTGAGAGAGGTTGATTGGTCGTCGCCGCCGCGTCCGATGTCAGAGTTCTTCTCAAGGTTCACCGTTCCTAAATCTCTCGCTAAATGGGATAGCCGCCTCAAGTGCAATCTCTACTAGTACGATCCCTCCCTCTCCCTCTCTCTATTAGCCGATTGATTCATTGTGTATTTTTTTGAATCTGGATCTGAAAGTAGGATCAATCTCGTAACTAGTTATTGTTGTAAATCACCGATCGTATTCGTCTCAGTTGCTATAACGATCATCTCTTTAGGAACATAAATTTTACCTGTGAATGATGGATCTGTTTTTTTGCAGCTACCGAACGAACTACTTCATCATGATCGTCTTTATACTTGGTAAGTCTTGTGATTAGGTAGCTAAGGTTTTTATATATCTATGCTTTTTCATCATGAATTACTCTTGACCTGTTGTGATGTGGTTTATACTTGTTGACAGGATTGGGATTTCTTACAAGGCCTCTTGCCATTCTCTCTGCTCTTTTGACTGCACTTACTGTAGCATTCCTTAATGACAGGTTTTTTCTTCCTTCCGAGCTGATTCAATCTCACACATTTAATATTTCTTATCCATGATGTGGATTCTTCTTTATTTACAGCTTTGCAGGTTCCTTTAGTGAGAAGGCCACACGAACCATCAGAGGATTCTCCCCACAGCTAGCTGCTAAAATGAGACCTCCATTGCAGTGCGTTTCTTTCTTCCTTCCTTCCCTCTCCTTATATTACGTTTGTTTCTTACTTGGTTATCATCTGTGTTTTTATAGACCTGTCATTCGTGGACGTCCATCAGCAAAGAGAGCAATCTATATCTGTGGTCAACCCCGTTGGGTCTTTGTCTTGATTTTCTCACTTGGTATGTGGCTCTGGCTCTCTACTATATGTTTTGTTTGGTGATGAAATATGTACCTTGAAACCATTTGGAATTTTTTTTGTTGTTTCACAGTGAGCTTTGCCCTTTGGTATATTTCCTGTGGTTTGTTCACTGTCTCGTTGGCGTTACTCATTGGCCTTCTTGGTATGCAATCTACACTAATTTTCTTAACTTGCTTTGTCACTATACTTTATCCATCCACATGCTTTATACCCAACCTCCTATTTGCTATTTGTGTTATAGCTACAATTCTGCATGCAAGCTTGAGAACACCCAACTTGAAGGCACGTCTTAACACCTTCAGGGAGGAATTTCGACAAGTGTGGCGTAACTACAGTGAGATCTAGACTAATGTAAGTTGGAGAAAACTTCTTCTTCTTCAAAGTTTATCAAAGTAACATGTTTGTGCTTAATTGGACAGCTTGTTTATTTGAAAATGTTAAAAACATTTTTCCTCAGGTTGTTCGACCTTGATCTTGTCTCTGAAACCTAAACTTGGCGAAGACCTTACTTACATCTCTTCAGGAAAGAACCGGTGATCTGGATTTGTTGTTCAATACTCGGATTATTTTCCTTTGATCTGGTTATTGCTTTCTGTAGCAGTCGTTTCTCCTTTTGTTTAAACATTTGTAAAGCCATCCTGTTCTTGTTTTCCAGAAAACCTTTATGATGCATTACTGTACAAACCCTTTATGATGCATTATTCTTTTTCGTTTTTTTAGCTCTAGCAGAGTCGACTGTTATATCTACACACTTTTTGGCAAAATTCTTGTGAAATCTATACTATTATTTAAGAAGTAAATTTGCTTAGTTGTCATGTTCTCCATAATTTTAGATAATTTGTTTTTATTTATCATATTTTTAATAATTTTATATTTTATCTATAAATAAAACAAATTTATATAAGTATATCATATTTTTAGAAAATAAGATAATTCTTGTGAATTATGTTGTTATCTTGAAATATATTTTTATGTATAAAACTGAAATTTTAAATTAAGATATAAACACTATTATATTTATCTAACACAAATTTATATTAATAATTTAATATTTAAATATAACTAAAACGAATTTGTATTAATAATTTAATATTTTTCTAAAATAAGATAATCATTATGAATTATGTTTTTATGTTGAAAATATATTTTTCTATTATAAAACTTAAAATTAAGATATAAAAATTATATTATTAATAATTAAATATAAATGGTAATTAAATAAAAATAATCAAAACAATTATTTTAAAAGTGAATTTGAGTAAATTTGCTTAGTTGTCATGTTTTCCATAAATTTAGGTAATTTTATTTATTATCATATTTTTAATATTTTTATTTATAAATAAAACGAATTTATATGAATATATCATATTTTTAGTAAATAAGATAATTCTTTTGAATTATATTTATATGAATATATCATATTTTTAGTAAATAAGATAATTCTTATGAACTATGTTATTATCTTGAAACATATTTTTATATATAAAACTTAAATTTCTATACTATTATTTAAGAAGTAAATTTGCTTAGTTGTCATGTTCTCCATAATTTCAGGTAATTTTTTTTATTTATCATATTTTTAATATTTATATATATTTTATTTATAAATAAAACGAATTTGTATAAATATATCATATTTTTAGTAAATAAGATAATTCTTGTGAATTATGTTGTTATCTTGAAATATATTTTTATATATAAAACTTAAATTTTAAATTAAGATATAAACACTATTATATTTATCTAAAACAAATTTATATTAATAATTTAATATTTAAATATAACTAAAACGAATTTATATTAATAATTTAATATTTTTCTAAAATAAGATAATCATTATGGATTATGTTCTTATGTTGAAAATATATTTTCCTATTATAATTAAGATATAAAAATTATATTATTAATAATTAAATATAAATGGTAATTAAATATAAATCATCAAAACAATTATTTGAAAAGTGAATTTGTTAATTTGTCTCCATGATCCTATGTAGTTTTAATTATATGTCATAATTTCTATAATCTTAATTATTATATAGTTAAAAACTTATCATATTATAATTTCAGAAAATAAATAACTTATGCATTATATTGTTATCTTGAAAATATGTTTTTCTAATATAAAATTTTGAATTAAGATATAAATATTATAATTAAATATAAATGGTAACTAAATATAAATCATGAAAACAATTATTTGAAAAGTGAATTTGTTGATTTATCTCCATGATCCTAGGTAATTTTAATTATATGTCATAATTTCTATAATCTTATATAATTATTATATAGTTAAAAAAATTATCATATTATATTTTCAGAAAATAAAATACTTATGCATTATATTGTTATCTTTAAAATATGTAATATAAAATTTTAAATTAAGATTTAAATATTATAATTAAATATAAATCAAGAAAAATAGTTATAGAAATATATTCTTTTAAATATTTCTGATGTTTGAGTTTTGTCATTGATAATTATTTGATGTTTGATTTTTACATTTTGAAAACATAAATAATAACTTATTATATTAATTTTAAATTAATGAAACATCAACTAATAAATATTCATAAGAGAATTATGCCCGCAAATGCGGGCAAAACACCTAGTTGGTTAGTATTGGGGAAAAGTTGTTTTACTAAAAAATTGCCAACATGCAACAACTCAATTCAAAGATATTTCTCTATCATCACGGATCACGATGAGAACAGGTTCATCTAAAATAAACTCACTCAAACGTTTTGAAGTTAAAACAAAAAAAAACCCTAAAAGTTGTTTCACTCTTACTATTATATGAACCAAAGATCAGTTTCACTTGTCAACAAAAGACTTAACATCCTTGAGCCATTGAAGATACTCTCTGCTGTCTTTGTTAGCCACGTAAACAGCAAGAAAGTCAGTGAAGCTGGGCTTGATCCCTCTGATCTCCAAGAACCTGTGGAAAGCCTTCTGCAGATTCTCATCCAAGTCACTGCATCACACCCAAAAAAAGTCAAATCACATAACAAGATCCAACCTCACTTGAGCAAAGCAAAAGGGAATGAAAACTTACTCAAAATCAGGTCCTTCGTAAGCAGCAAGCTCACTGTTAGAATCTTGGGGATGCTTGATGGATAAACTATCAATCACAATCTCATCGGAGTAAGCACTAACTCCAAACTCAAGACATCTACCATCATGACCTTTGGAAACACTCACAACCATCGGAATCCGGAGTTTAGCAGCGCTTTCCTCATCATCTTCATCATCGTTTTCAGCTTCTCCTTCTTCAACTTCGACTTGGATAGTTTCATCCTCAAACTTCCTTTGAAGTAACAAAGTTCGTTTCCCTGGAGTATCAATGATCTCAAAAGGAAAACCTTCTGGCAAATCTTCCATCTGTTTTTTTTTTTCAAAATTCAATTTCATATTACAATTTTTTTAATTATTGCTCATACTCACATAAAAACTGAAACAGAGATAACTTACAACGTTTTCGTCAGGCGCCTCCTCGTTCACTGCACATTCGATTTCAGATTCGATAACGCTAACCAGGTTCTTATCGGCCGTTCTTTTATCGACCGACGAAAATCTCGAGAATGAAGACACCGACCTGAGCTGCTGGCTACGAAGAATCAATCTCTCGGCGGATACGGCGCCACTGCGGAGGCTCACTGGAGATCTAACTGCACGGAAGGCAAGAGTGGCCAAACTAGACGAGGCTCGACGAAACAACGACATTCTCTCGGAAGGTTCTAGGGTTTGCGAAGAATCAAGAGACAATTGAAAAATGAGGGTTTTAGCTGTGAGAGAGGGAGAGGGATACGAGAGAGGTTTAAGGAAGATTTATAATGTGACTCGAATTTATAAATAATATGCGATAAGGCCCAATAACTTAATGGGCTGAATAAAAGCCCATAGATTGCTAGCTTTAAAGATTCGTGTTCGGACCAGAACTTGGGATATTCGGACAGTAAAGAGGAATGTCTCTGTCTAGACACGTGCCAAAAGGCAAAAGACAAGAACAAAGAGCTTTTTCGTGCGTCAGAGTTTGCGTCACTGTTTCTTCAATTTATCGTTGGCTTGAAGTTATGGGAAACATAATTGTTCTTCCAAATACAGTAAACAATGATTGGTAGATGAATAAATTTGTGGTAGATAGATAAATACACTTTCCTTTTAAAATTCAAAGCTCGAATAAAAGTTTTATTCTTCTTTAATGGTGGTGGCTCTGCTCTTAGTTATGGTTTCCGTAGATGGTTTATGATCTTAAGCGGAAATTCCTAAAGAACACCACCGACAGATTTAGTAATCTGTCGTTTTGGGTATGTGAGACTTGCTAGAAGAGAAGAAGGGTTAACGGTTTTTATGATCGGAGATAGAAAGTGTAGGCTTTTGTTTGTTGTTATAATAGTTTGTGGTCGATGAAGAAGATGATTGGGAGTCCAGGAACAATGAGTGGGCTGATATTGAGGTTAGGGCAGTGTGCGACTGCTGCTGCTTCCATCGGTGTTATGGTCTCTGCTCCTGGCTTCTCTAGCTACACTGCTTTCTGGTAACTTTCGTTATTCTGTATCTGAGAACTCTCTTCTTGTCTAAGATAGTGAAATAGGGTTTGCTAATCTCTAGTTTGGCTATGATTTTTGTATATGTGCTTGGTTTGCTCATTTGAAGTTACAGCCGACAAAACTAGTATGTGTTGTGTCTGATACTTTTCTTTGTTTATGGGTTTCAGCTTCTTAGTAGCATCTATGGGTCTTCAAATGATTTGGAGCTTTGGACTTGCGTGTCTTGATGTATATGCGATAAGGAGAAGAAGTGACTTACAAAGCCCCATCTTATTGAGCCTCTTCGCAGTTGGTGATTGGGTACTTTAACTCTATCATCATAGTTAAAGTAAAGTAAACAGAGTTTCATTTTAGCAATGCCTCTGTTATTAAAGGTTTTTTTTTGTGTGAATTGTGCAGGTCACTGCACTTCTCTCGCTTGCAGCTGCGTGTTCATCTGCAGGAGTTACGGTTTTATTCACAAAAGACACTGTATTTTGCAAACAGGCCTCTCTCTCTTGCGATAGGTTTCAGATTTCTGTCGGTTTAGCTTTCTTTAATTGGGGTTTGGCTGCTATATCGTCTCATGCAATGTTTTGGATCTTGATATGACATTTGAACACACCCCATCTCCTTCACTTTTCAAAGAACCCATTACTATGAATCTTTTTTTTTTCTTTTGATCTAACTCATAACCTGAAATGAGAGAGGGCAAGGGTACAATATCATTTTTGGTGAATCCCTAGGGACAATCGAGTCTCAGTAGTAACCTCTTCAGACATAACATTGATCATGTTCGATCTCATCAGCAACCTTTTTCGTCCAAGAACGGTTCTGTCTCCCCTCGTTAAGGCATGCGGATGTTAAAATCCTGTTGTTGTTTTTTTCTTCTTCTAATTTTAAGGGACGATTGGAATCATTAGAGTTATGTACACACTATCCAATTGTTCAGTTCAGATAGTTTAACATATTTACTTATCTCATGTCTTCAAGTCAACATAAGATTTTTTTTTTTAATCTTGATTACTCCCAAAATAGTTAGTCTTTGTACAAATCTTTCTATCTCAGAGAAGAGTATACGAGCTACAGATAGAGTATATCTTGGAAATTCAACATACATTAAATCCAAAAATTATATATAATACCACAATTTCATTTCACAACGCATGTAGTATACATAGTCATAGTTAGATTTCTATGAAGCTGATTAAAACAAATAAAACAAAACAATAAGCAGAATAAAATAAATAGGCTTAGCTCATACGATGTTTTTGTTCTTATTCTCATCACCTAACACGATCCTAAAAACTATTAGTCATCGATTTTTAAGTGAAAGAGCCAATTATATCTGCTTTGAAGCCAAATATGGATAACACACAGAATTTGCTACCGTACCAAACTTTTTCTTTGGGTGTAAATGTTAAAACCTACCCAACTTTTACTCAAACGCTTTCAAATTATATTAATTGGGCATATGCATGTAAGTTTCTTGACTAATCTCTTATCAATAAAAAGAATGTTTGTGAGACATTTTTTCAATATTGATATGTTTAGCAGCTAAAATATATTGTTGAAAAAGTTCTATAAATCTTTCACTACTACTCATGTCCTCAGATTTGGGTTACTTTTCAGAATGCGTCCAAGTATTCGTGGATTAGCAGATAAAATAGTGTGAAAATATAGTAAAATAAATAAATGTCGTTATCCATTTTTTTTTGTTTCAGCCAATGTTGGGGTTGAAAAATAAAATATGAGACCGGTTAAATAATTGACCTAAATTGCATATAGAAACACATTATGGAGTTTGACCTAAAATAGTGGATCTTTCAACGCATTTGTATATTTTTGTGGAGCCGACTGAATAATTTCTCCCTTATTTAAAAATGAACTACTCACTAAAACTATAAGGAAAGAAGTCATTTTAAAAATTAATTTATTAATTAGGAATGACAAGTAGTATCATGGAATTGAGGATTAGTCATTAGTTAAGTAAATAAACAAATTAATGATAAAGCTTAAGATTGCTTGTGAACTTCAAAGCCTCAAAAGGTTTGCTTCATGGAAGTTGAGACTTTCCTTTCACATCTTTTCTTTCGTTCTCGTAAATATATACTTTTTTTGTCTATTCTCCTCAATGATACATATCCTCTAAGACTCTATTTACCGTCACGATTAAATATGCGTGGCAGGATACCCATCGCGTCACGTCAATATGACAATATCCCTACCCATTTCTCTCTTATATTTATACCAATCCATTCACACAGCGATCACAAAACCATCAAAGCTTGCAAACGTTACAAGCCAAAAAGATTTATTTTGATCTTTACAGAGAAACAAACAAATGGAAGGTTTGATTCCATTCTTGTACAAAGCCTTTGTTATGTATAAAAGAGAAAGACGTTTCTCGTCAGTTTTGTTCAGCGATCATCACTCTCCTTCCACCGCCGGTTATTACACGCGACTTCTCGAAGATTCATCTGCTAGTTCTAGACCAAAAGATCTCAGGCTATTGGGACCAGACCGTCTTGGAATGTTGGATACGAAGTCGTCTCCCACTAGCTAGGGACATCACCAAGTTTCTGCATGAATGATGATGTATTATATTTGCGCATATATATTGGTTTGCATGACATTGTGTTAATTGTATACTGACTGTTATTATATTTCTAAGAAAAATTAAATTTGCTAAAATTATCAAAAACTAAATGGTTCCTAAAGTGAATGTATACCGAATGAATTTATGTAAAAATTATTTCTTCTGGATATGTATCTAATCAAAATAAGGACCAGACATAACTAGGGTTAATGTTCTATAAAATATTTGTTTTTTTTTCCGTCTACCAATACTTGTGCATTCTTTTTAACCTACAGAGTTGAATTGGAATAGAGCAGGTGTACCGCGTAACTAATAAAAGATAGATTGAACCACAAGAAGATCAAATAATATCTTGGTTAGTAACAGAAATAAGGAAGTTGGTGCAAAAAAATAAAAATAAAACAAAGTTCAAATAGTAGTAGTTTATTTGCTGTCATGGAAGACGCAGTAATGCAAATTGTCATGGACTCACGAGGTTGGTTAGAATTAATTCCCGTCTGTAACATTTATATTTTTACACGTTTTTGTAACATGAAATCTCTATGAAGATAGTCAGTTAACCAATTGGGTAGAAAGCATTTACCGCGCTTCATGTGGGACGACCTCCTCTTATTATATCCCTTGGCAACTATCTCCACTCGATTAAAAATAAAATTTTATTTTTTCAACTACAAAAAATTATTCAAACTCTTTTCCAGTGTCATACCCAAAATCAACTCTTCTTACATGGAAAAAAAAAATTGAATTTATAACCGAGAGACATTCATAGATACAAAATAAAAAGGATTATTACTATATGTAAGTTTGTTCTGGATTTGCTGCTTATATTTTCTTACACTTGTGTTATGGAGGTGGAGTTTGGTACTTTGATGTTCTCATGTACCAATGATCCTCATTTCTCACCAGTGTCTTCACCATCATTTTCAATTCATATTTTAACTTAAACTCTTTAGATAGACTAGTTTTTTTGCCGACTTGTGATGTGCTTACCCAATAGATTCGAATAATAATTATCACGTGTTGTATTTCAATTCTTCCTTAATTTCGGGTTTACCTGATTCAACTTGTTTTACTCGTATAGAATTAAATATTATTCATAATTTTTTTTAGATCAATTATAAAAAATCTCACATATCTTCAAAATTTGATAGCAATACTTTTCTTTTTTTTTACAAAAACTCCAAATTTTCTAATCACACAATTGAATAATCTAATTTCTCATTTCTAACATCAACTTGCATGCGACAGACACAAGACAGACGGAAAACAAGGAAACGGCGATGTAAATGGCTACGTACGGACCGAGTGTACGGCTCCTCCGTGCCGGCTCTTTGTGACCTGAAAACAACAGATCTGGAAAGTCTCAGACTCACTGATTCCCCCCCATCATCTCTCACTCTTAGTAGTTGCAGAGTTTGGCGGAGATCTGTGAAGTTTTGTCACCAAAATCCTCTTTCTCTGAGAAAGCCTCTGCCTCTATCTTCATCCTCTCCTCTTCATCCTCCCCTTTGTCTCAATCCAGATCCGGCGAGACCTTTTTGCAAGTTTAAGAGGTTTTTGTTTTCCTTCAAAAGTTAAGTTCAAGTTCTAAAAAAGACGGTGGTCTTCTCCGATCCGGAACTCTGCCGCTCTGTTTCTGGAACCGTTTACAAGCAACGTTTATAAGTCGTGGGTGATTAAAACGTTTTGCTTCATTCCATCTGAACAAAGAATACCAAACCTCTAAGGGCAAGAGGAAGAAGACGATAATTTCATCTTCACAAATCTGGGATTCTCCAAAGCTTATTTGGTGTTTTAAAAAAAAAAAAATATATATATATATACTGATCTCTTTCTTAATGATCTTGGATACCAAGGAGCAAAGAGATTAGTGGCTCATCTTCAACTTAACAAGCAGCTTTTTCATCCTGTGCATCTCTACCAAAAGCTATCATCCCAAGTTCAATTGTCTAACCAAGTACCGGAAGATCTCCATTCTTAAGCTTGTAGAACTAGCCAAACACCAAGAAATTTCTCTACTCAAGTGCTAATTTTTGTGGTCAGAGTTGTGAGTGTGGGTGCTCCACTCCTAAAATCACAAAAAAAAAAAGAACGAGAAGTCTAATCTTCTACGTAGCTGACTTGCTTGTTGAGAATCTCCAAAGACCCAAGTATAAGTGTGTGGCTGGACAATAGTGCAAGTGTAATGAACGCTTTAATGGTGAAGATAAACTCTGGCCAGTTTACTATTACCAAGCTGCCCAATCTGTTGTGTGACGTGGTTTGAAGAGTTTGGTCAAATATAATCAAAGGAACTATAAAGTTATATTGTTGTGGAGTTTGTGACGTGTGTGCTCAACTCTGTCTTTTTCTTTTCAACTGATTCTAGGAGAATCCACGAAGAAACAAAAATCTGACTTCATACTGGAGAAATTTTCAAGTCAAGCTTTTTGTTTTGGGTACGAGAACTAAAAAATTGGAATAACTCGAGAATATTTATATTTGGAGTAAGCGAAGTGTTAGTGAAGACCACCCATTGGTGCTAAGATTCTACGTGAAATTAACAAAGAATCTCATCCTGCAGAGAAGTTGGTTCCTGGGTCATTACATTAGTTTTTTTAACTAATGTTGATGTGTCCAGTATAACTATATATTTTTAGATGAATACAATTGCATGGAATTGTCAAGGGGCGGGAGCGTCCTTGACCAAGGAGCATCTACATGAGTTGTTTCACTGTTTCTTGCCTAAATTCTTATTTCTGTCGGAAACTAAGAACAATCGGAATTTTATGCAAGATGTACAAGTTTCTTTTGGATATGATCATGTTTGTACCGTGGACCCGGTGGGTCGAAGCGGAGGTCTAGCACTTTTTTATATGGATGATCCCTCGGTTCGTATTTTATATGCGGACGAGCATATGATCGACATTGAAACTAGACTTGAAGGACATGCAATTTTTATGACTTTTGTGTATGGAGAACCTGATTTCAGATATCGAGATTTGGTTTGGGAACGACTGTCACGTATGAGTACAACTCGTACTGGCGCGTGGTTTATGATTGGAGATTTTAATGAGCTCACAGGCAATCATGAGAAGAGGGGAGGAAGACGTCGCTCAGAGAGTTCTTTCCTCCCTTTCCGAATCATGTTAGAAAATTGTGGAATGCTTGACTTTCCATATAAAGGAAATTCGTTTTCATGGGTGGGAAAAAGAAAAAATGGAAAAGTTAAATGCAAACTTGATAGAGCAGTGGCAAATGAGGAATGGCACGACCTGTTTAACCATAGTATTGTGGAATATTTACAGCTATGGGGGTCGGACCATAGACCAGTTCTTACAAGGATTCAGTCATCATCCCGATGTACCAAGAAGAAGAATTTTCGATTTGACAAGAGGTGGATAGGAAAACCCGGGTTTAAGGAAGCAGTGACTTCCGGATGGGGACATTTTGATGACATTCCAGTCCGGAATTTTCATCAAAAAGTTACCTCATGTCGGAACAAGATCAGTACTTGGAAAAAAAATAATCCGACAAACTCAGCTATCCTGATTGAAAAGCTAAAAAACATGATTGATCTGGCTCAAGATGACGAAAATTCCACGACCGAGGAACTAGAAGATTTGAGGCGACAGTTGATAATGGCGTTTAAGGAAGAAAACACTTTCTGGGAACAAAAGAGTAGAGATCAATGGCATAAATATGGAGATAGAAACACAAAATTTCACCATGCCACTACAAAACAACGAAGAGCAGTGAATCGAATCATAAGTATTAAAGACAAACACGGGAGGTTGGTAGAGAGTGAAATCGAGGTGGAGACTGTTGCTGTTCAATACTTTCGGGATCTCTTCTCTACCTCCTCCCCGACGGAGGTTGATACCTCCCTTCGGTTTATTACAGAAAAAGTATCCCATGCCGACAATAGGTTACTCTTAGAGGTACCGTCGGAACAGGAGATTCGGAGAGCCCTTTTTGATATTAACCCGGATAAAGCACCAGGACCGGATGGCATGACTAGCAAGCTCTTTCAGAAATTTTGGAGTGAGATGCGGAAAGATATTATTAAACTGGTACAAGATTTTTTTGAGACGGGCAGCTTTGACCCACTTTTGAACCAGACGAATATATGTCTTATCCCGAAGAAGAAGAAACCCCGGGAGATGTCAGAATTTAGACCTATTAGTCTCTGCAATGTTAGCTATAAGATTATATCTAAGCTACTATGCAAGAGACTTAAGAGGCTAATTCCGAGACTGATTTCGGAGACACAATCAGCATTTGTGGCTAAACGTTTGATCACTGACAACATCCTGATAGCACAAGAGAACTTTCACGCCCTAAGGACGAACCAAAGATGTAGGGAAGACTTTATGGCCATTAAGACCGATATGAGTAAAGCTTACGATAGAGTGGAGTGGAGTTTTCTGGCTACCCTGATGTTAGAGATGGGATTTGATGAAAGACTGGTTGACCTCATTATGTGTTGTGTCACGTCGGTTTCATATCAAGTTCTAGTCAATGGACAACCGCGAGGCCGGATCTTACCAAGGAGGGGCCTGAGACAAGGAGACCCCCTGTCCCCCTTCTTGTTTATCCTATGTACAGAAGCTTTGGTCTCGCTGTTGAATGGAGCGGAAGCGGA